TTGCTGCCATATCTGGGCTGAGGCTCCTACTATATATCTTGAGATATTCAAAGAATGGTCTGTAATGTTATCGGTGCTGACCTGGCATCTCGACTTCAGTTACTACTAAATCACAATTTTCATAAGGAGATATTCATACAAAGTGCAGATTTTATTCCAACCTAACTGTATACAATAATGGATCATATGCAATATACGTGAACAATTCGACTAGAAAAATCCAATGTATGTAAATACAAATTAGGGTCATGTCATAATAGATCATTCCATTTTGAATAAATCGAGAATGTTTTGTAGCAATTTTTAACATCAATTTGAGATTTTTAACACATTCAACATAATGGATAAAATATAGTGAATTTTATATATATATTTTTTAAAAAACTTCATATGAGCTAAACAAATGCACAGATTTAGGTGGAAAAAAACAACTCCAGAATGATATCAAAATCCGTGAAAATTTTTCATCCTTTTAATAGTTGTGCTTAGTTTAATTTGTAATTTTTGTGATGTCAATGAAAACTCCTTGTCACTTTTGTAATGCTTGTTGTAGTAGAGACTTTGTAATTGCAGATACAACTATAGTAATGCTGTTGAACAATACTGATGTCAGACACCTTTGAATAACACTTGCACTAATACAGTGTAACCCGGATATAAGAGACCCAAATATAAGAGAAACCCGGATATAAGAGAGATTTTCTCTGGTCACAAATTATAGCCTGTGTTAATGCATATAAAATAGACCAAACCCGGATATAAGAGAAACCCGGATATAAGAGACTTCTTCTCCGGTCCCGACAACTCTCTTATATCTGGGTTACACTGTAGTACTTGCTTGATCATACTCGCTTGAAAAGTAACCACCGAATTGTAATCCGTATAGTGACCACTTAGATACCACGCTAATTCCCATATATACATTTCCTTTACCATCACATGATCTACTTATTCAAAATGGTTTGAGATGACTTCCCCTGGAGGCTACACTACTTCAGTTTCAGTTCAATAGTTAGAAATTCTGTTGGCGTTCTTTTTCTTTTGCCATATTTTTAATTTAATTAAGATTTTTATTTTATTTTAATTTAAATAGAACTTTAAAAATATCTCTTTCAACTTATTATGCAATAGTTATTTGGATTCTTTGAGTTTTCACACGTAGTATCTGGAGAGCAAGTGACAAAGGTTTCCTTAATACTCCAGCAGCAGCACTTTCCTCAGTATTCTAGCTGGCATCATCATTATCATCATCATGGTCTGTGCAAGAGTCACGTACCCCAACCAGCGGTCTCCCCCACTCCACTACATTTCACAGACTTAAACTCGTTAGAAGCAGGGTGAACAGTACTCCTCCTTATCTAAGAAAAGAACAAGACATAAAATGAGAACAGTCTATATCCGTGTAGATTAAATAAAAGATTCAGTTCAAAATTCCCTGGATTGACAGATTACCTGGAGGGAGGGAAGAGGACACAATTGCTGAAATGTTGTCATAGTAACAATAAAGATGAGGATGATAGTCTGAGTGTAAATAATGATAATTCCTCATCCCAGAAATTCAGTTTTATCTGTTGGGTTTTAAAATTATCTGATTGGCAATGTACCCCCAACTCTGCCCTAGGGGAATATTCAGTCAGTTATGTGCCATGCGTGATACACGCTTAGGCAGTCATGTATCTTTTGATATATGACTGACAAAGCAGATTTTTTTCCCCGCTGTTGGTTGCCATTCCTTTCTGTGTTAGACCAGTTGCTATCCAAGGCTATAGAACCAGGTCTGTCCTGCTATTTACCCATAGCTAGAAGAAGAGGCTTTGATGGTTATTTCTCAATATTTCATAAACAAAGAAATACTTCAATCATAAACTGTGGTTTTGGCCAGAAGTGATGCACATGACGATGCACAAGAATCTAAAGAATCTTAACTATGTGTAGGGCTGATGCAAGGATCTCATGAACCCCTACTCTACTATATCTTGATTTTCATAAGGTAATATTCATATAAAATACAAATTTCATATTCTAACAATACCATTATGTACAATAATGGATCTTATGCAATATAGCTGAACAATTCAACGAGAAAAATTGAAAACAAATCCAATGTATCTAAATACGAATTAGAATCATGTCATAATAGATTATTCCATCTTGAATAAATCAATAATATTTTGTGGTAATTTTTAACATCGACTTGAGATTTTTCTTGTTAAAAAATTGAAGAATTTTAACACATTCAACATTAGGGATAAAAATAATGAATTTTATATAGTGTTTATCCTTAGGCTCCAGCACACAAGTCCTTGGTTTCTATGGCTGCTGTACATAACTGTGGATTTGAATTGGTTCATAACTTTCCCAGTTCTCCTGATTTGACTATCATCTGTTCCCCAACAGGAAAAACCTTTGGCTGGGAACAATCATCGCAGTGATGATGACGTCATATGTGCCGTTGATAATTTTTTCTTTTTTTTACCAACCGGATGAACAGTCTTTTTCAGGAGCATTGACCTGATGAAACAAGACCACTTTCGTCAGTTTTTCTAGATGTTTGGTCTTGATAACCTTTCGTAATCGCCTTAGCAAGTAGGCGTAGTACTTGGTATGAGCAAAACACTCACGGATTTGAAAAAACAAAACAAAAACAAAAAAACAAACCCAAAATGACGTCAAACTCCGCAAAAAATTTTAATCCTTTAATAGTCAGATGTACTTACTTTAATTTTAATTTAATTATGATTTTTATTTTATTTTAATTTAAGTCGAACTTAAAAAATATCTCTTTCAACTTGTTAGGCAATTGGTTATTGGGATTCTTTAAGCTTTCACACGTAGTATCTAGAGAGCAAGTGATAAACGTCTCCTTAATACTCCAGCACTTTCCTCAGTATTCTAGCTGGCATCATCATTATCATCATCATCATGGCTAGTGCAAGGCTCTCGTACCCCAACTCACTACTCGAATTACTTCGGAAGTGTGCTTGTCAAACTCTCCGTGTTGAGAGGAACCCAGACGAGGCTATGCCGAAGGTCAGAGTCTCGTTTGGGATGGTAGTTAGTTTACACGACCCCGTTTTTACGGGGTCTACAGGGAATTTTTGCCCGAGCCTACGGGCTCGGATACCCCACAATAAACTCCGACCGCGTGGGGTGGTTAGTGAATATCATCTATGATATGACTCCCCCACTCCACTACATCTCAGTTTTCATAAGGTAGTATTCAAAATAGAAATTTTGTTGTAACATTCAACATTATGGGTAAAAAAATAGTGAATTCCAAATAGCGTTTTTTTTTTTTCGAAATTTAGCATGATCAAAACAAATTCACGGATTTAAATGAAAAGAAAGAAAAGAAAAAAAAGAAATCCAGAATATCAAAATTCGAAAATATTTTTCATCCTTTAACAAAATTTATAGCCAGTTGTGTTTAGTTTTTTTTTATTTGTAATATATATAAATGTAGGTAGAAAAAAAAACAAAACAAATGTTGACAAGATAGAGAGAGTCATAAATCACTTACTGGGGCCGTCAATCAGGCGTGCCGTCCTCACCCTGTTCAGGTGGTCAGGGGTATTATACACCGGCCCTGGTCAGTCCGGGCTATAGTTTCATACACATTCTCTGTGTGATCATGAGGCTAATTTTCACGGTCTTTTTCGTTTTAGCCAGTATACTTTACCCCCTCAGCCACAAAGGAAAGAACAAAGCTTATCTCAACAAGCAAGATTATTTTTTTCCTTTTTAAAGAAAATTACATCTTCATTCGGATTATTTTCTCGAAAGATTTTTTGGTCAGTTTCATATGCTTGTCGGAGTTAGCTCCTCCTTAATTCCCTAATTGTTTACTAGGGGTCACTCTCACTACACTATAAATACTGGGCAACTTCTTGCCTCGTTCTCGTTTTCTAATTTACATTCAGCGGACACATTTAAAAATGTAATCTCTCGTAGAGATCCGCGTCTTCCTATTTGTGGGAGACACCGTGAACATTATACACACATAACCCATAGGTACGAACATTCACCAAAATACAAACTCTACGTCCACACACAAACACAAATGTTAATGTCTTTGTCACTTGTAAATTTGTTGTTTAATACTTATATTTGTTGACATATATACATCGGTCTTGTTTGTTTTTACATCTTCGGTTGGATTCAACTTGAGTCCGGAATTTTCTTGTAGTTGGACCTTCTAGCAGGAAATAAACAGCACGTGTTCCTAATTCAACAACATTCAAACGCACTTTTTAAAGAATTCTGTCTATATTTCTGAGATGAGGTATTATGTACATTATGCTAGGCCACAAAAATCTCCTGAGCCGACCAAGCATAGAAATAGATACAATATTGGAACCAGTAATAAGGAGTGCCAGAGAAAAGCAATGATAACAACAAAGTTGCAATATGAGCCCTGGTAAAAACATGCAATGATAACAGCAAAATTTCAATATGAACACTGGTAAAAATGATTGCTGAAGACATTTGGTTTATAATTCATACCCAGATGTCCTGAAGGACACATGGCACAGTGGATAAAGGCATTAGTTAGATACAGTGCCTGGACCCAAAGAGTGTGAGTTCAGTACCCGGTTAAGGCAATGGAGAACTTTCAGAGGGAAATTAACTGATAGATGACATCCATGGAACTAGCGAAATAAAGGTTTCAGTTCGACATTCCAACCACCTGAAGAAGGCCGAAACGTTGTGGTAAATATGGCGACGAAGATGAGGACAATAGTCCGAATAACGTTCTAAAGAATTATTAATGGTTTGTTATTTTTTTGTTTAAATTTTTTCATGTTATTGTAGTGGAAACTTCTTATTTGAAATATATTTCCCTGTTTTGATTTGTCAAACAGCGGTGTTACATCTATGGCTTCAGAAATCTTTGTAAAGAAAGTTTGTTCTAGCTGACACATCCTTGCCCAGGGTGTGGGGGCTGAATAACCACTTGATGGCATAAGATAGAAGGAATCGGCATTTCAGATCTAGTAGAGATGTTAAAGTCAGATGAAAGACAAACAAAACATGTGTATGACAAGTAACTTTCAAAGTACGGCACACAGGCTTTTCTTTATTGCGGGTGAGAATGCATTGCAATATTGGTGATTATTATGTGAATAGAAAATAGCGTTTTGCTGCGGAAGACTTGCACTCGTCAATGGTGTTATTGTTCTCCCTGGATCTGTTGTCATTTCCATGGAGACAGTAAGCATTTACTATGAAAAATGTCACATGGATATGCCTACATTTTAAACATTCCAAAATATACAGAATCACTCACATAGATTTGGTTATCAGCAAATCTTTTGTTTAGATATGAGCAATATGTTTTAGTTCGAATCCATACGATATTTCAATTTTAATTAAGAAATCACTTCTATTGTGAATATTTGATTTTATATTCATTAAATACCTTAAAAAACTGTTTGTTCTTTTTATTCATCCGAAGAGTAATTTTATTTCTCGTTCTTTGATTTTTATTTATTAAAATTAATTTTATTTTTTTAATTTCGTTCAGATTTTATAAGTTGCCATGATTATAACTTGTAGCAGTGCAAACCGCGCGTTTCAGTTGAAACGTTTTTATTTGTTGTTTGTGGTTTTGTTTTTACAAAAGCATCTTCCATGTGTAATACATACTGACTTCCTAAATTGTGTTCAATATTTGTTCTTATCGACTAAAATAAAAATAAAAAGTCTATCTATCTATCTATCTATCTATCTATCTATCTATCTATCTATCTATCTATGTTCATATTCCGTTCCTCATCTATCTATTTGTCTGTTCAAACTTATCTATCTATCTATCTATCTATCTATCTATCTATCTATCTATCTATCTATCTATCTATCTCTTATCTATCTATCTATCTATCTATCTATCTATCTATCTATCTATCTATCTATCTATCTATCTATCTATTGTAGTCTGTTCAAACTTACCTCTCTCTCTCTCTCTCTATCTATCTATCTGAAAAATAAAGAGTCTGTGATTTGTAGAGTTATAAATGTGCAAGACTGATTCTGACGGGAATAATCGTCCAGTTAAGAAAACCCTTTTTTTTTTACATTGATTTTCATCCTGTATAAAGCCTGCGAGCCACTCGAGGTAGAGCATTACAGATTAAGAGAGACAGTTTATGGGAATATGTGGAGAAGATAATGGTTAACCCCAGACTTGAACAGGTTAAAAGTGTAGTAACAGAGGAACCATCCTCTTTGGAGTTGGTTTCACAAAGCTTTTTACCCAAAGCAAGGTGATAAAGCCACTAAGATGCAAGGTGTTACTGAAGGTGAAAGAAACTGAGAAAATGTTGAG